CAAGAATGCAAGCTCAGCGAACAAGGTTTCAAGAGCAGGTTCCTTCTCAAGAGCTTCAGACAAAGTTGGATCCAAAACAAATAATTCGACATCTCTTTTCTTGATCTCGTTACGAACGAAGCTTGGAATCTTTTTCTCCAAATCTTCGTCCTTAACACCTGGAAGCTTGACAATAATCTTTCCACCCAATCTGACATTCTGCAAGATGGCAATCTCCTTGAAAAGTTTCTCGTCTCCAATGTAGGCAACATCGGCTTCTTCAATTGGATAAGCTGCTTCGATTGACTTCTTTGAGCTTCGAATATCAGTTCTAACGACACCGCCTTGAATGAAGTTATCGTGAGTTTGATTGATAAGGACATTGCCAGTCGAATCTCCAGAAAGGAGTTTGCTAATGGCAGAAGGTGCAGTAGCAGCAGCAGAATCCTCAAGATCGAAGAATGAATATTGTTGAACTTGTTCAACACTCAATAATGAAACAAAGTCATTGATGGACTTGCCACCGAGTTGATGGAAGATGCTAGCAATGGAAGTAGGTGTAAATACTTGCGATCGAGCGTACTTAAAATCAACTACCTTGGGGGAAGCTGTGAATTTATCAGAGAACACAGTTGCTGCCAAAACATCCTCATACAAGTTAGAGTGACCAGAAACATCAGTTGCAGCCGTCTCATCCAAAACTTGTCCGAGGACTGCAATACTTCTAACTGATGCAGGAAGAGCCTTCAAGAAAGCTTCCTCTACAAAAGGTCTGTAGACTCTGACATTAATAACACCGACTTTCTCTCCCTCAGCAGAAAGCTTCTTGGCGACTTGAGTAGCAAGAGAACTCTCAACAGAACCAAATACAACCAAAACGGATTCAGGTGACTCGTGTCCGCTGTACTCAAAGAGGCCATAAGATGTACCAAGTTCGCTGTTGAAAGCCTCGAGAAGTGAAGAAACCTTACTTTCAGCATCAGCTCTCTTTCCGAGTTTCGATATCTCTTCAAGAACTGTCTTATAAGAACTGCTAAGACCAGATTGACTAAGAATATCAATGACACGAAGGGTATCACGACCAACAGTGATTCCATCATAAGTATGGATTGTTGGAAGAATAGTTGCTAGCAATGTAGAAAAGAGAGACATGTGCTGTGCTTCATATGCAGATGAACTAGAAACTAATCCAAGTCCCAATTCCTCTGCCACAGTCAAAGCAGTTGCATAGTCAGTAACGAGACCGGTAGATCCTGGTGCATAGTCGACGGCCGCAACGTGGGCGACAAATGGGTTTGCCACAGAGTACAATAGAGAAAGTTGATCAAGAGTTGAACGCAGGCTATGAAGACTGGAAGAAGAGGCCAAAAGTGATTGGGGAATGTGTCTCTTGGTCAAGTCGAAATCCTTTGAAAACATGTATCCAAGAGCAATTGATCCAGCGCCAGAGCGAGTCTGCATGGGAGAAACTTGTGTAGTATAACCATTGGCATTCTTTGTATTTGCCGCAGCCCAAGACTTTACAGCAACATCCAAATCAAATGATTCTGGGGAATAAGAGAAGATCTTATCGGAGAGCGCATATGCTACTTGTTGAACCAAAGTTTGGGCAGTAACATAGGTAGGACCACTGATCGCATCGTATTCGATTGATTGTCCAAATGGTAGATTGGAAGACTTTTGGAAGAAAGTTCGAAAAGAGGACTCATTTTCGGAATTCCAGGTAGAATTGAGGGTATCTTTTCCAAAGGGTTCCTGCAAAGAGAAAGATTAGACACTTCTACATAGTTCGTATGATTGGTGCTTTGAATTACCTGTTTAGATCCGTCACCTTCTGGCTTAGTGTTTATGCCTTTGGTTTGATCATAATCTGTTGATGCCCCCATTTCTGCGGATGGATGGGTGGCGGGGTATCTTTGAAGAACTTTTGACGAGACAAGAATGCAAATAAAAGAAAGGAAATCTCAAGGCAAATTGACTTGATACAATTCTTTTGGAAAGAAGAAGATGAGTTTGTTGTAAATGAAGTAAAGACAACAACAATATACTCAATCGAAGGAAATATTATCCCTTCACAACTTAGCTTTGAAAGGGAAAGATTTATTAGTGTGAGATATATATATATATATATATATATATCATCTTTTGGCAATCAATTGGAATGGAAAAATCGAATTCCGATAAATCACCTTGGTTAGTAATGAGAGGATAGGAAATCGAGTCAAATCATATGGACTTTTACCATTTGGAACTGGTGAACGTACCTAGAGTATCTTTTCTTTCTTCACTTACCGTATCAGAAGCTTGATATTACTGAATGGAGTGAAATTTGGTGAGAGCACGAGAAAGCACGCAATCACAAGCAAGCTAAACGCCTTCGACTAGATTATATACCCTTGTCAAAGGTGTCGAGGAAGAAAGTTTGGCCGATGCCGATAACGGTGACCAATAGATCTTCTTTGTTCTCCAGTCTTGCAGTTCTCCAGTTCTCCAGATTCTCCATCGTGATGCTATTTTGGGAATTTCGAATTTGGCATTGTGAACGTGGTTGCTTTATTCAATATAGAGTTGATGATATTGAATACTTCATACCTAAGTCATTCTTTCGATCGAACATAGATCAATGTTGTTTTCTTCTCTCTGAATGCTTATAACTCATTCATGAGAAGTCTGATAGCCAAGTCAGAATGTCATGCCTTCAATTGAACATATTGGACTGGTAACAAAGTCTACAGGAGTTATGGTTTCTTTTTATTTCACCCGACAGTCTAGATGTTTGTTGATCTTCGAAGCGGATGAATTACAAGCCACACATACCCTTGAATTGATTACCCAAATTAAGGTCGACCGGGAAATATAAACAGCAATTGAGTTGTGCATCGAAGTCGATGAGTAAATACCACAAAATACCTAGGAGCTTGATGGATAGGATAGGGGTTTGGGATATCTCAAGGTATCAAGCATGATTGTACTACTTTCGATAACTTCTGGGCAACTTGAAGTATCTTCAAGGAATTTTGTTTCTCATTTCAAACTCACAAAAAAGTCATCCAGATGTAGATCAACAAACTCAAGTTTCGTTACTTATCATTTTAATACAAGTAGCTCATCCGTCAACTGTGGAAACCCCTCAAAACTATATTATACATCGCAGCTTCGAATTTTATCATCAATCTTCTCATCATCATCATCGCAACTCTTTACTTCTTCTCCGTAGCAGGTCTACTTGGCCCATCAACAGCCTTCTCAACCTGTCCAGCGAGACCATCTTTCGCGGCATCGAATTGGGAACCAATGGCACCATCCTATCGACAAATTAACTAATGATACAAAGAACCCAGCATACGATTGGACATTACCTTTGAGAATGGACCACCAATCTTCTCACCAATTTGTCCAATATTTCCATCGGGGTTGAATTGCTTGCCAATGGCACCTGCAGATGAAATGACTGAGGGGTTCTAAATTTATGAGATCAGCTTGGCGTACTCGAAGATATCTATCACAGCGAGCAATTCCAATACTTACGGATGGACTTGTATCTTTCTTTTCACCCGCAACTTGGGAAGCTGCCTCAACACGACTATCGGCCATATTTCTTGAGAAAAGAGTTGTAGAAGGTTTGAAGATGGTATTTGTGGATTGGGAGAAAGTCTTTCTGGAGATAGTGCGTAACATTTCGAATGATTTATATAAAGATTACAATAGATGAAGAGGAAATAAAACAGATGTATATTTGTTGAAGAACATCTACTTTTGAACATTCCTTTTCTATACCTAGTGAATCAATCGACACCGTCATACTAAATCATGACATCAAGACTACCCGTGGACTAGGTAAGAACGCCACGATGAGTGACGACGAATCTCAGCCCAAAGGAGAAATCTCTCCTTTCGAACTTTACCTATTTGTGTCTGACGTCTTATTATTGACATACACGCTATTTATTGTCTCACAGATCTATCCTACAGCAAATGATATGATATGATATGATATGCAAAGAGCGGGGAACATTCCGTACTACCGGTATGTATGTATGTATGTATGTATGTAGAAATGCGATCTCAAATCTCCATAGCAAGGTCAGTAATCTCTCACCTGAGTATCTAAATGCTCTCTCTAATTCTACTATCAAGCTACTCATACACAGGTAGGTATCGGTAAATTCAATACACATATGCAATGTAACAATTCGATATTAGTATTATGAAGCTTCTCCAGATTCTCATTACCGGTACCCCATAAAGGAGATTCTTCTCCGGATACGAAAGTTATTGGCTTTATCACTAGGTAGGTAATTATCTATCTATCTATCTATCTATGGTATGTTGATATTGATACTGATATCACATTGATATTCAAACACCCAACCCATCCAATCCATCATCACATCCGCAAAACGAACTTCCAAACAACAATACCACAAACACAATACCACGTATTATTAGCATATACACCTGTCTACCTACTTACCCAGGTAGAATTCTTCAATCACACAATTCCTATTATCTATAATCAAACATCCATAGCATAGCATAATCCCCATTCAATCCCCATTCAATCCCTCACTCAACCCAAACCCAGAGGCAAAATATAAATAAATGTGGGGTAACTACTTAACCTACCTCCCTACCTAGCACTCAACTCCTAACAACCATGACGTCGTCATTTATGGAATCGGAAATCTTGTCTCTTCTACCCGTATTTTCCAAACATATCTATCTACTCGTAGAATCTACAAACAAGCAAACGAATCATTGAATAAATAAACAAACAAACAAACGCGACATCAATTTATCAGTCTTGATTTCATGTAAGTTGATTCATGTTAATTATAATATATATCTTTCGAAGGTATCTATAGACAAGTAATTGAGTTCAGTTCAGTTCGGTTGAATTCGAAATGCATGAGGTCACATCTGATTCCGAGCACCAAGCTAATTCAATTGATAGATTGCGATTACAAGACACATTCATAATCTAACATCCCATTAATCAATCAAACCAACCAAACCTAAAAATGTCGCCAACTCCCTTCCTCCGCCTCCTCCGCCTCTCAAACATAACACGCACACGCGCCTCCCTCCCCCGCACACTCCTCTCTCATCACACCCCCAATACCACCCGCCCCTTCACCAACACGCCCACATCTCTACTCCCCCGCAAAGACTCCCAACACAAAGACAGCATCGACACGACGGCAACCGAATACTCCAAATCCGGGAGTGACGATGCGGCCGCGCGCGAAGAATCCGCCGCATTCGATCCGTCGATTACTTCTCCTGAGTCTGAGAAATCTGAAGCGGGGAAAGGGGGGGGTGGCAACCCGTTGGATGTGAGTCCGGCGAATCAGGAGGTGAGTAAGCCGAGGGGGGAACAGGAGGGAGGGGCGGAGAGGAGTCCCGGGGATAAGAATGTGAGTGGGAGGAAGGGGAGTGGGTTTGGGGGGAAGTAGGGAGAGAGGATGATATATGATGGATGAATGGGTTGTGATGAGGGTTGGAGGTAGTTCGTGTATGTGATTGTAGGAGGTACCTAGGAAGGATGAATGGAATGAAAAATATGAAAATCGATAGTACGAATCTATATCCGATGAATCAATCAGTAAATCATTGCCTCTGCAAATAAGCACACAGTAAACCTATTCAAAATGACACAAAGCTCAACGGTTTAACACAACGCGATACAACCACCCAGAAATCAAAATTCCATTGATCCATCCATCCATCCCAACAAACCCAATCCCAAACCCCTCACTCCCCTTTCCACTCCCCCCTCCCCAACCTAACAATATCCCTCTGCCCCAACTCCCACACCCTCGGAATCTCCACCCCCTCCTTCCCATCCACGCCATCCCTCCCCCTCATCGCCCTAACCCCCGCCTCCACGGCCGCCCTCCCGATAACCCTCGCATCCTGTGCCCAAAAATCCTGCAGTCCAGGATTCACCCAACCCATCCAGCCCGCCACCTTCCGCGCCACAAACTCCGTCGGGCGCGAATCCTCCCTCTCGCCGACGATCAATCCCGGTCGCAGGATAATAACATGTTTGATGCTATTTTCCTTCTTCTCCAGTAAAGCCTTCACCGCGTCGTCCAGCTCGCCTTTCATTTTGGAGTAGGGGATCATAGAGCCGGGGTTGGCGCCGTGGGTGGAGATGAGGATGTATATTTTGCTATTTGTTTTCTCTTCATTTTCTTGGGTTTCAGTCGTGCTCTCACTACCCATCTGCGAAAAAGTCGTTGCGAGCTCGAGATTTAAATCATAGTCGATTTTGCGCTGCGCGTCGATACTACCCGCTTGGGCTTTCGTGGTTCCCAGCGCGGAAAAGAATAGGAGAGGAGAGGGAGAGATGGAGGAGAGCAGGGAAGACCATGTTGATGTGTCGGTCGAGGTGAGCGGGTGCAGTTTGGGAGAGCTGCTGCTGGGTTTGGGATCGCGTCGGGACAGGGAGTGCACGCTGGAGATGGAGGGGTGGGAGAGGAGAGTGGAGAGGATGTGGGAGCCCTGGGTGGGTTAGCATGTTATGATATGATATATTAAGTCGAGGAGCGCTAAAGGTAAGAGGGAGACAGTAGAAATAAGAGAATAGAAAGAAAGACATACGACCAGACCGGTACTCCCTACGATAGAAGCAGAAGCCATTGTATCTTCTCTACTTTTCGTATTCTTATCGTGAAACAGTATATATCCCACTCGATATTCTGATATTCCAATATCCAAAAATTCCACAGAGCCCACAAAATCCAAAATGCAACATACAATATATGTATACAACAAAGCCGACAAAAAAGCAATTGAGAAATCCAATTCTCAGAATCTCAAAGACAATCACAAAAGACAAAACAAAGCCCCTACCTAATCACAAACCCCCCAAATCCTTATCCCTCCGAGCTTCCCTTGCCATGCCATCATCTCATCTCATCTCCACTCTACACACCCCAGCTGGAATGCAAAACGCTTTGTTCCTTCGCCACAAATTTTCGGCGATAGTGATATTTATCTAGGTACCTTGGCTGCTAGATATGTAATTTTTTCTTTTGCCAGTGCAAGACCTCATTTGATCACTCGGCTTGAACAAATCCGAAGCATTTACGTTTTTGAAGTTTGGGGTTTTGAATCTGTATCATAGTGACTCTAGGAATAAAAATGAAGATATACTTCATGCGGTCTTTTGATCATCGAAATTTTGAAGTAATACAGAGTTTGGGTACACAGAAACGTCGTGATGTGGTTAGTGTATAAAGAATATCGGAATGAGTAAATTTTGAACATTGAAATTCGAGCGATATACTGAGATACTGATCAATGAAGGCAAAGATTCATTGAGAGCAATACAACATTCGAACATATAAAAATCCTTTTCATTTCTCATTTAACGGCCATTTATCATCATATCTCCATGCAATTCAGAAACCCCATAAGAAATGCTAAATCCCCTCAGAGCGCCCAGTTTCCATTCCAGAATCCAAATCAACCACAATATATCCCAAATCTATCAGATATTTCCCATCTAAATCAACAATCGTAATCCAACCATCAAGAAAAGATCTTACTTTACAGAAATATGTTACCACCTTCTACCATACAACGAGTCTTCTACCTTTCTAGCTTGAAAAGGAGTTGGTGTAATCTTCCTCGGTGCCGATGAACTTTGTGAACCATAACTATCCAAAGTCGCTGCACCTTTACTTGGACTTCTACTAGCAGATTCCTTCAAGATTCTTGGCTTAGCACCAAGATCATATGCACCAGCAGCAGGCGGAGCATGCTCAGCATCTCTTCTGAATAATTGAAGAATCTCCTTCATTCCCAATTTACCAGCACCACCTTTACCACCTTCGATAGTTTGATTTGCAAGTTCTCGTTTCTTCTCTTGAAGAAGTAGAATTCGCTCTTCAACGGTATCTTTGATGGTAATTTTGTAAACAATAACATCAATCTTCTGTGTAAGACGATGCACACGATCGATGGCTTGTTCTTCAACGAACTATATATATTATGTGTTAGTAACTATGATCATGAAATATTATGTGAGCATCGACGGAAAATTGCTTACGGGATTCCAGAATGGTTCAAGGATAACCACACGAGTAGCAGCTGTAAGATTGAGTCCTAGAGAACCACACTTCAAACTACAAAGTAAGACTCTGCAATTCTCGTCGTTACGAAGTCTGTCCAAACTAGCTTCACGAAGATCGTTCTTCATACCGCCATCGTATCTTGTATATTTGTAACCCTTTTGGCGTAAGAAAGGCTCGACAAGATCTAACATCGATGTGAATTGCGAAAAGACAATAAATTTATGCTGAGCGGCTTCCTTTCCGAGAATCTTCATTAAATGTGTAATCTTGGTAGATGCAGCAATTCGAGAAAGCTCTGCATCTTCATCGGAACCAAATTCGTCTTCAACATCGGATTCCTCCTCCTCCTCTTCAGAAGACTCATCCTCTTCTGACTCCTCGGCAGATTCTTCGGTCTCTTCTTCATCACTATCAAGATTGACGACCTTCTTCTTGCCAATATCTTGAATGTCAGGGAAAGAATCATCGAGATCGTCATCATGATCCGAATCAAGCCATTCACCGCCACCTTCACAGTTCTCATCTTCCTTTCCACCAGCCTTTCCTAGAGTAAGAGCACCACGTTTCTTTTCTCCAACAAGCCATTCGCCTTGCTCTTCCTCTTCTTCGTCATCACTATCTTCGATAATATTCCTATTCCTGGGCTTACGAATTGGAATAGGTTTAGACTCCTTTTGTTTCTTGCTCTTCTTACTCTTTTTACTCTTCTTCTCCTTAATCTTCTTCTTTGGACTGAGCTTCTTGCCGGATATCTCATCCAAATCTGCTTCACAATCTAAACAGCGAATGGCGCCTTGTGAAACAGCTTCTTTACCAAGATCAATTTGGCAGACTTCACATTTCTTGGAGCCTACACCCAAAGAACCAAACATATCAGCCATCTCATCAACATCTGTTGTTGACTTTGATTTAGGGTTGCTGGTTTCTGCTGAAAGTGCATCGGTATCCTTTCCCAGTTTATTTCCAACAAGTTTTGGATGATTGCATGCTTGTCTCAAACGCAATAGCAATACCAATGCACTTGCGTAGTTGACTTTACTTCCACCCATCATCTCTTCAATACTCGCATCGGTACGCCTCTCCAGTCTTTCGTAGAATCTACGCTCCTCTGGTGAGAATTCCGCAAAGACCTTCTCAATTTTACGCTCGACGACCTTGAAACCTGTTGAATTGGCTTGTCCAGGAGCAGAGGGCTTTCCTCCAGGGTTGAGGGCTCCATCCTTCTTTAAAATGTCCTTGGTACGTCGCTTCATGAAAATCTGCAAGTAGTGACGAAGACGCTTGATAGCAACATCACCTCTACCATTCTTCATTGGTCGATCGATTTGGTCTTTCCATTCGCGAAGGTTATCGTAAGGCTTGATTCTCAGGAATTTGATCAGACTTTGCAATTCATCCAAATTGTTTTGCATCGGCGTTCCTGTCAAGCACCAGCGGTATTGACTTCGAAGTGAATAACATGCTTGCGTAGCTTTGGCGTTTCGATTTTTGATAGTATGGGCTTCATCAAGAATGACTCTGTACCAATGTATACCAAAACAGCCGACCTTGACACCTTCATCATCATCATCCTTAGACGAATTGCTCCATTCTGAAACAAGGATTTGATATGTCGTAATAACGACATCGTATTTTCTGAGATCTTGGAATCGCTTCGTACGTTGAGGACCATGATGGACACAAACACGAAGAGAGTGACTCTCTTCAACCTTGTCTTTAATTTCGGCTTCCCATTGTCGAATAAGTGCAAGAGGTGCAACCACCAAAGTACATTTGTCCAGACCTGAAGGTAATTTGCGCTTACTGTGAGTTTCGTCTGAACTTGATGGTTTGGGATTACTCAAAATGAGTGAAATCGATTGTAGGGTTTTTCCCAAACCCATATCATCAGCGAGAATGCCACCTTTTGGTACCATGCCTTTCTTTCCTGTGCCGATCTCTCGACCAATCATCCATTCTAAACCTTCAACCTGATGCGGGAGAAGTTTTATGTTGATTCCCTCGACAGTTCCATCATCCTCATCCTCGTCCTCTGATGCAACTTCGAGCTTCTCCTCTGCTTCAACATTTAATCCATCCATTTTTGCCATCAACTCGTCTACCTCCGCATCCTTCTTCTTCCTGCGTGATCTCGTTCTGGGTTTCGTATCTTCCTCGTCCTCAATAACACCCTCTAAAAGTGCCTTTAGATCTTCTTGTGCCTTTGCAGGATCAACATAGGTGTGTGGTTCATTGTAATTTGGCTTGCCCATAGTGAGGTCGATATAATTGCTAGATGTATAGGTATTTACGGATTGGAAACCACCCCCATTGCTGTTTGGAAGGGAGCCGAATGTTGGTGGAGGTGCAGGGTGAGTTGTTGCATATGATGAAGAGCTAGGAATCGGTGCACGAACTGCTGGCTGACTGTATTCCGCTGGTGCTCGTGGCATAAGGGGGTTGATAATCTTTCGGGCAACATCTTTTGCTGCTTGCAAATGTGGATGTGCTACATATATGTTAGCACCGTGAGATAATATGGCACATGAATACATACCATGTCTCTCTGGATCTTTATGAAATTCAGGGCGGGATTTTGGTTGAATGAATAATTCAGAGTATTGTTGCTGAGATTTACGATTCAATGGAGACTGTGGAAGTGTAGCTTCTCCGAATCTAGGAATGCTGGATAGATGGTTTGCTGTATTGCTTTGGGAGGGTCGATATTGATCCTTGGGCTCTTCAGGTCGAGGTGCCTGCACCTTTGCTGGAGATATTTCCCTAACCATTGTGTCTCCTTGCTCAACAGGATATCTATCGTATTTTGCAGTGTTAAGTACAACCACAGTTCCTTCCCTAGTCGAACCTGAATTGGATGCTCGACCAACTATTTCGAGAGACGAATCAAAGAGTGCAGTTGAATCACCAAGGTCACTCAAGGATGGGCTATTTTCCGTCACTGGGGAAGAGAGAGTTCTTCTATGGATTTGTGGTAGACGGATAGTTGGTGTTGTTGCTCTCGAAGTGTCGACAACTCTTTTGAATTTGTGTTGTTGTTTAGTATTTGTATTTGTATTTCGACATTTGAATTTTGGTGTTTCCGTTGATCCAATGGTATTTAGCGGGGTGAATCCACCTCTGGTTGTTATCAGTAAATAAAATCCGAGATGACCATCCACCTTTTGAAATGTGGATTTATGGCTTACTTCATGAGGCTCAATAAGACCTTACTATTATTTCAGATGATGTAGATATCGGTGATTTTGTTTGTAAGAGGTTTTATCACGCATAAAATCGCGTCAAATTCTGAAATAGAGGGAAAAAGTGCAAACTCATGGTTGTTGGCATGGAAACCTTATCACCAATCAAAAACCACTTTTCGTACACGAACCCATGATAGAATCACAGTATAAGATGAAGATTCATTAATCAATCAAATCCAAGTGATACTGAACTTTATGCTTCTTTATTATAGTATCCATTGAACAATCTTGATTTCATGAGTCCAGAGTCCTCAACCGGAGAAGATCAAGCAAATAGGATATGTGAGTCCCGGTGAGCACTCGAAATTTGAATTCCACG